GTTAACACCAACAATTAGTTGTTTCACACCTAGTGTGTAAGCCAGAAGGGCATGCTCACGGGTCTGCCCATTCTTTGAGATACCAGCTTCGAATTCACCAACACCAGCAGCAACAATCAGGACAGCACAGTCGGCCTTTTAAAGAAAATAATATACACTGTTAGATGACAAATCCAGTTTTCTCCATGTAGAAAACATGCTCGGAGTTATTAAACCCCACAAACCTGAGATGTGCCTGTAATCATGTTTTTGATAAAGTCTCTGTGTCCTGGGGCATCAATAATAGTCACATAGTATTTGCTGGTCTCAAATTTCCACAGGGAGATATCAATGGTGATACCACGCTCACGCTCAGCTTTCAGTTTATCCAAGACCCAGGCATACTTGAAGGAGCCCTTTCCCATCTGTTAAGATTAAGAGTGGTTACTAAGACATGATCACAACTCCAGCTTGAAATTCCTTGCTCCCCCTATTTGGCAGTAGTAGTATGTATCCGCTTTACAACTGCTATGCGGACACATGGTTTTACAGAGTCGACATGGTAACTGAGTTGAGATTAAAAAGTGAATTTGTCATTATTTTACCTATTAACATCCAAATCTACATAACTACTACCACTTAACGGTTTGTTTTTTTTACTAGTAAACTCGGTGTTTTAGTTAAAGTAGTTTTCCCTTTATGCTATCGTACATACTTCAGCTGCCTCCTTCTCAAATTTTTCGATGGTTCTTTTGTCGATCCCACCACACTTGTAGATCAAATGGCCAGTAGTAGTGGACTTGCCGGAATCTACGTGTCCGATGACGACGATGTTGATGTGAGTCTTTTCCTTCCCCATTTTGGCTTTTATGGGTGGTTTTCACGGCACCTGAAATGCAGGAAAAAACCTTTGAACCACTGTTGAAAGGCTTGAGAATAAGCCAGGACCCAAACTCAGAGGGCAAATTCCAAGGAGAATTACAGCCAGTGCCAAGCTGGCCGAACTCTTCAGTCTCCACCCACCAAGTGTGGGGAAACTCCAGCGCACGAAATCCCCTCCCCCACCGCGAGAACGAGCTTCTCCAAAAGCTGGCAGGAGTCATGGAGGTGCCTGGACGGCGCCCGGGCACACCGCGGGGTCACAGGAAGCGGCGGCAAAGGAGGGAAAGGCCCTTTTCCTTTGTGTGGGTGACTCACCCGCCCCATCTCCCGGGCCGCCGCGTCCTCCATTTTGAGCTCCCTGCAGCAGGGCCGGGGAGCGGCCATCTTTCCGCGCACGCAACTGGTGCCGAGCGGGCCGGCCGCGCCGCCGGGGTGGGGCGGCACACGGCGGCGCAAGGCTGGCACCAGAGTCGCCCGGCCCGCTCCGCGCCACCCGCCCTCCCGTCTGACTCTCGGTGGCCGAGACTCGTAGGCCCCGCCTCGCCAAACATGTGCGCTGGGACCCGCGGTCCCCGCCGCCGCCCGGTGCGCCTCGCGGCGGCCCCACAGCCCCAAGAACCGAGCGGCGAACTCGTGGACACCCAACCCAACATCGCCAAAAGTATCCTGGCAGACCAAAAAAATCGTACCTGTTCGCTTAAAAATTAAATGGTCGGAGACGAGACAACAGGGCAGGCTTGAAGGTGCGACCGGATTCGCACGCGGCGGCCACGGTGCCCAAGCCAGGCCTCCACGCAAGCACGAGGCGAGGGAGCTCCGAGAAAAAGCGCAAGGCCTCGAACTCTCCCACCCCCTTACAGCCGGAAATTCGGGATCGAGAACCTCGTCAAGTGGCCCAAAAGCACGGCATTAGAGAAAGGCACGCGAGGGCCGCAACCATCTGGACGTGGCCAGGCCCGCGTAAGCCACACCCGGCACTCACCTGTGTTCTGGCGGCAAACCCGTTGCGAAAAAGAACGTTCAGGGCGACTACGGCACTTATATACGGTTCTCCCCCACCCTCGGGAAAAGGGCGGAGCCAGCACACGACACCACTTTCCCAGTTTACCCCGCGCCACCTCCACTAGGCACCGGTTCAATTGCTATCCCCTCCCCCCTAACTTCTCGGGGACTGTGGGCGATGTGCGCTCAGCCCCCTCAAGGGCACGCTCCACCTCGCGCATGCTCCTCTCGACCCCGACACTGACGAGAGCCAGTGGGTGGGAGGCGGAGACACCCCGAGCTCTGGGTTCTGGGTTAGTGGGAGTTTAACGACGGTCCCTGGGATTCCCTAAGGCCGGGGCGAGTCCTCCTTTTGTATGAATTACTTTCAGCTCCAGCTGGGGGCGGAGGGGGGTGCCGGCAAGGAGGCAGCCTGGAGGGGACGTCCAGAATCTTCCCTCTACCATTCCTGGCTTAGCCGGAAAGGTTCGAGTTTGGGGTATCCCTTCACTCCGCAATCCACCTTCCGCTCTCAGGCTTGCCATCTGGCTGGTCCAGGACAAGCCCCTAGAGCCTCCTCCTCTGCTAGTCCCAGCCTGGTCCCGGGCTGGCTCCTCCCCGCCCCTCCCGTCGGGAGAGGAGGAGGAATACCAAGGAGGAGGAAGGACCCCGAGAGGGTGGGGGCGCGGAGCAGGGGCTGTAGGGCCGCCTTCGCGGCTCCAGAATCCAAAGGCGGTTCAGCCCGGCGACCGTGAGGCGTGAGGGCGACGAGTCTGCTCCTGCGCTGGCCTCTTGGCTCCTTCCATTCAAAGCCAGCTACTTTTATCGAAGCCTGTGATGAACGTCACCCCACTGTGGTACTCCAGATGTCCAGATTTTCAGTTTAGAATAGACTTCAATCCTACGTTAGCTGTACGTCTAATTCTAGTTTCGTTACGCCAAAAAGATCCTGACAGATTGTGTGTGTGTGTGTCTACCCTCTTGGTACCCTTTTTAAGTGTACAGTCATTTGATTGCAAACATGATAAACCTAAAAAGAATGCTTCAAATTCAGTTTTTCCACGTGATCTCATGTAGAGACTGAGATCCACAGCATCGGCAAGCTTATCCACCCAGTTTCCTATCCTCAACACTTGCTGTGAAATCACTGCTTCTCCTGTTTATGTAAATATCTATGCTATGTAAATAAATGTCTTCGTTTTCTGTCGTCCCATTGATTGTAACTGCGATTCAGCATAAATCTAGGGTGAGATTGGATGAGACATGGCCTTTTGGATGACTATCAGGGCAGGCCCTGGGAAATGCTCCTCTGAGGAAAGAGAGCTTATTTTTAATGAGCTAATTACTGGATCAGTGTGTTTCTTCTTCCAGGTGTAGAATATCACTGCCCAACTTCTCGAAACAACCTATGGACAAGTATTTGAGAACCTACTATGTGTCCAATGCTAAGCGAAGCACTGTGGAGTGTGCAAAAGTATTTCCTTCTGGAGAGGAACCCACGGTCACGTTGGAAAACTAATATATAAAACAACTGGAAAGCAGTTAAGGCAAACTTGTATGGCGCTTACTTGGTTTTTATTTCATCGTATAATAGAGTTCTTCTAATGCTACCTTTCAGTTATTGTTCACAATCCAAACACTTTTTCTTTCAAGTGAAAGAAGTCTTCTGCAATAGCCCTCCTTTGTCTTTTTGTTGTTAATTATTTATCAAGAGCAAAACTATTCCTCAGCCCACATATTCATAGCTCAGAAACACAGGTCAGTGACAGACTACTATGTAAATCAACCCAAAGAAATTCTTTATATTCCAAAATCACCTTGCACTCTGAAACATACCAGCCTTCCTCATCTCCTCAAAATCTTTCATAGAATCCTAATCTCTGTAGAAATCTGCATGTGCTTTCTTTCTTGGTTCAGGCCACCAAACTTACAGAAAGCTGCAACCCCCAGTCATACAGCGAATGCTCGGACAATGTGAAACCACAGACACCTGGCCAGGAGGCCACACAACTGAGGTTTTGTCAAAGCACTGGAAGCCATGGTAGTTACTATCCTTGATGAGTATGCCAACTTCAACACATCCTTGCTGGCTGATGGAGAAACGAACTGCCCTTTTTTTTTTTTTAACCACTTCTTACAGATAAAATTTCTAAAAATCAGGTTTCTCTATTTTTTCATTAGAAGGTTTCTAGCCTTCTCATTTTCATTTAACTTTGAGATAGTTTTAATGAAAGAATCTGGGCCAAATACAGTTTCCCTGGAAATATATATAACTAATCTATTTCTATCCACAAAAGCCTTTATTTCTACATTTCTAGCTTCTCTCCTTTCACAAATTCTTTTTCACATTGAATTTTCCTAGTGCCCTTAACCAATCATATACACGTGAAATAAAATTATCTTGATACCCTAGTCCCTGTTTGTAATAAGAGAAAGATGTAAGTGGTACCAGTGAAAATCAATCACTAGCAATGAAACAATGTAAATACTTCGCTCTCATTTATTTTCTTGGAAATATTAATTAATGGCTATTCCTTGGGGCTAGATTCCTACAATCAGCTGTATTAGTATATCACAGTAATATTAACTGCATACAGGTTAAGATTAGGGAGCCACACTACACTTATTTTCCATGCCTTCTTTAACAGTGTATGCCACAAATGGTACATTGTTGGAGATCATACTAAGGTACGTATTTAACAGGAATGGCAATTTTTTTTAAATCTAAAGAAATGGTTATTTCATAACAGGAGGGAAAACAAAGATTAAACGAAGATGGAAGTTTGAATATTTCAAAGCTTTACATGGAATCCAAAATCATAGCTAACACCTAATCTAAAAAAGAAATGAAAAATCAAAATGAAAGTGGATATTGCTAAGAGGGGAAAGTATCAGAGATAATGTCAGTTTAGTAAAATAAAAGTAATCTCTGTGAAAGATGCACTGTTCATTGAAATGTGACATTGCAAACAAGTACTTTCATACAATCCTAAAATTGTAATTGAAGATATGTGTATTTTCAGTGGAACTAATCTGTTTGAAGATATGGGCCTACTATCATTTAAGCAGTAATTTTTAATACGGGTGTGTGTATATTCAGCAACATGTTGGGATTCTTTTAAAAGATGACTGCAAACATCTCCACAGATGCTTATAAAAACTACAGCTCCTGATTCAAATCTGACCTAAACCTTTTCCTAGTACCTTAACTTTACTGCTTTGGATGGTGAAAAGAATCCAACATTCTAAATATAATTAAAGTAACAAAATGGTCTAAAGGTGTTCCTGAGACACAAATAATGGCAGCCAAATTTTTATTATGTTCAGAAAAATTGAAAAATACGAATCCAAAGCTATCTCAGAATATAGGCAGGTTTTCCCCAAACCACTGTGACTGCAGATAAAAGTAAACGCTTTATAAACACCTTATAGAGAACGCTTTTAAAAATAGCATCCAAGGAAGAGAAAAATCACAGGAGTCCTTGATTTATATCTAAGTAACCTGCGCACAACCATATGGGTGCTCTCAATGTTGCGATAATGGCCGAGACTTTCTTTGGGGAAGGGGCTATCTCAATTCTCGTGCTTAAGAACTAATACCTTTGAGCCCATCAAAGCCATAATATTGTGCGTTAAGGGTAAACATTGGCCACAAGTATTTTCCCGCGGCAGAGATCACATTTCTGCTCCCGGTCATGGCCGGAGGTGGGCCGGGAGCCGGAGCTGGACCTGAACACGAGTCCTGGGGAAGCCCCGCGCGGCTCGGGGCGCACCCGGCTTCCAGGAGGGGAGGCCGGGGCGGCGCCCGCAGTGCGCGCCCGTCCCGGCGGTGAGGCGGCCGCGCGGTGGTCCTTCTCCCGCGCCAGCTCCCCGCGCCGCGCCGCTGGCATTCGTCCGGCGCTGGGACACCTGCGGGCGGGCCGGGTACGGCGGACAGCGGGGCGCCACGGAGCAGCCCGCTGCGGTCCAGCAAGCGCTGGGTCGCCAGAGCCCGCCCCCCGCCACGCCCCCACCTGAGGTCACTTTCTTCCGGCCTCAGACTGCGGAAGGGAGGGCCCAGGAGGAGGGAGAAAACCTCTTGTGGCTCAGGGGGAGGGTCGGTTTTCGTCACCGTGGGCTGGCTTCTAAAAGACTGGAGCAAATGTTTTTTAAAATCCCTTTCCCCCTTACCCTGTGCTTTGAACATAATCCTAACGCATTTTCCCCCACGACTTTACAGCAGATACAATGTGCTTTTTACTAACTTAAATGTTAACACAGTAACATTGTGTAAACGTGGTTTTGGGTCATAATCTAAGGTCGTATTTTCCTTAAACTTGTTCATACATTTAGACTGGCAAACTTAACATAGATTATAAGTAAATATCAACATGACCCCTTTTAGGAAGAAAAACAAGGATTTTAGTTACGTTGTAAAAGAGTGAACAATAATAGTACTTTTAGATTTTATAATTGTGATTCACCAAGCATCTTTCAGTGTTGGCTAATCACTCTGCCA